CCAACTCCACTCACAAGAGTTCGCTCTGAGTTGTAGACATTTATCTGACATGACTGATGAATTTGGGCAATTATTCTCCCTCTCTCTGGAGATCCACTTTGGCCCTTGCAACTGTAGATCAATTGAATAATATTATAAGACACAGTGTGCATGGACAGCTAGAAGAATCAATGTAGTAAAAGAGGTTTAAAAGCTCTTCAGTCAGTTGGAAGTAGGGAGTAGAGCTGGCATCACTTTCAGTTAGGGACGTGTCTACCTTTCTCAGTACAAGCTTAGCCTTTGATTTCCATAATGACATACATAAAACTACATTCATAAAACGTGTATGAACAACTTCTACTGTAATGGCACACTGAGGCAGATTATCTACCCACTCCTTCGTTCCTGCAGTTTCTGCATGTATTTTGCAATTTATGGTCATTGAGTAGGCAGTTTTGGAAATCTGGCACATGTTGCAATTATTCAAGCAGTAAGTTCTACCACTGAAGAACCAGAAGCATAACCTCATCCAGGATAAGCAAAGGAAAAGTACTTTTTTTTTTGGATTCTCATAAATTGTTAATTGAAGCACAAGGAGGACCATATATGAAGCTGACCACCAACTTCAAATGTGTTCCAAGAGGGATGTCCAAACTAAAGACACAAAGGAGAATCTTAAGGGTATCTGAAGCAGCCACAACATAGCACTCAGCAAGTGTCTGGCCAGGAAAGTACTTGTGGCATCAATGGGGCACAAAGGTGCAAAACCTTTGATCATTTCCAGATTGTCAGGATTCTGCAGGTGTCAGATTTGATTTCTGAAGGTGCTGAAAGACCTTTACACTCTATTCATTCTTCTTCTTACCCCTATAAACAGAAGGTGAAGCTTAGGAGGTAATGCTGGGGTTTGGTGTTTCCTATCACACATAGCCCATCTTGAAACAGAAAATTCTTTCTTGGTTCAGTGCTAAAAGTTGACCACTGATTTTAACATAGTGCAAAGGCAGTTCTTTCTGAAAGAGTTATTGTCTACTATTATTTATTTCTCAGGAAAAACATTTATGGATGCATGTGTTTGTGTTTTCATAAATATACCTGCAAGGGAGAAAAATCAGCCCATATCCACTATGTCTAATCCATTTGATATACTGTATGTTGATTATTTTAAATATTAGGGACCTGCTGCCAATCTTCTCAAACTTTCTCTGCTTTCTTCCAAGAGTTCTGGAAAATTTACTTCTCATTGTCATTCCTGTACCAGCTGAAAGTAGCCATTTCCACAGGTACATGGAAAGGACTGTGTGCTTGCAGCAGCTTCTTTTGTTCTGATGAAACTCTTTTGCTCTGAGATCTTTGTCCATGTGGGATCTACAGCTTTGGGACTGCTCGGTTGTCATAGTAAGATGCTCCTAGGTCTCTCCTGAATATGTATCCTTAAAGCTCTGAATATGTGTGCATCTGCGGGAATAGAAGCCAGGATGTCTATAAACCTCAAGCAGTTCACCAAATTGGTAGGCTACTTTAAATGTCAGGGTGCTGGAAATGCTACTTCCAATGGCAGGGTCCAGAAAAGGGCAACAAAGCTGGTGTAGGGTCTGCAGAAAAATTCTTATGAGGAATGACTGATGGAACTGAGGTTTTTTTTTTTGGTGTGGAGAAGGCTCAGGGGGAGCCTTATTGTTCTCTATAACTACCTGAAAGGAGATTGGAGTGAGGTGGGGGTTCATCTCTTCTCGCAAGAAACAATTGATAAGACAAGAAGTAACAGCCTTAAGCTGCACCAGGGGAGGTTTAGGTTGGATATTTGGAAAAATTTCTTCACAAAGAGGGTTGTCAAGCCTTGGAACAGGCTGTCCAGTAAAGTGGTGGAATCACCATCCCTCAAAGTGTGGACCATGTAGATGAGGCCCTTAGTGACATGGTTTAGTGGTGGTCTTGGCAGTCCCAGTATTGTTTGGACTTGATGATCTTAAAGGTCTTTTCCAACCTAGCTGATTCTATGATTCTGTGACTTAGTAGTTGAAAAAGTAGTCCTCTGTTCTTGTATAAGGGTTATCAGGGAAAAAAAAAAAAAAGTCACTTAGTTCTAGTAATCTCATCTATTAGTTTTCAAGTTCTGATGAACAAATTTTGACTCTGGTATGCACACATGTGCATTTACTATCATATTAGTGTTTTCATTTTATCACAAAATTCCCACTAACATGGATGGAAGTTTTTCACAGAGACTGAGGACCAGATACTGCTGTGCCTTTAAATTACTGCACCATCCCAGAAAGAACCACATACATTTCCAAAATATGTCTCTTGGTAAAATAAATGTGTAGAAAATGCAGCTACCCAAAAGTCTCATAATACATGTGAAGATTAGCAAACAGGTTTCATTATTGTTGTCATAATTATTATTAGCAGTTTGAAGGATAAGCTGTAGAAACAAAGCTTCACTGAGGTGTCTCTGTAATGGAGAAGCTCTACATTACCTACTCTATTTGTGCATGTCCTGTGAACTTTCTCAACAGAG